GGCCATCTCGGGCCGCGTTGGAACCGTCTCGAGGCCGCGGATGGTCATCGGAAGCGAAAGGGCGAGACGGCAAGACACGCGCTGAAATTCGACTGCGGCGCGTGGAGGATTTGGGCCTCTCGGGGGCCTCCTGCGGGAGCTTGTTGATAACTTGGATCCGCCATGGGGCGACCTTGGGGCCTCTTGGGACCTCCTGGAGCGCCCTTGAAGCCGCCGTGGGCGACCCTGCGCTATCTTGACCCATGTTGGAGGCCATCTCGCACTCTCCGAGGCCCCCTTGGAGCCATCTGAAACCATCATGGGCCGTCTTGGGCACTCCGACCGCTCGCGGGGCGCCCGGCCCAAGCCCGGGAGGGGAGGGGGGGGGCGCCCCTCCCCGAAGGGGAAGTTAGGGGTTGGGATAAACCACCCGCGCCCGCAGGGCCGGCGGGGCTCGCCCCGGCGGTGCAAGACCGCGCGAGCGCCGAGGGCACGGTGGGACTTCTCATCCTGCATGGCCGCTGTGGCTTCGACCGAGCGCACCGAGCGCTGGGCGCGGGAGCCTCGCGCGCTGGGCGCGCCCGCGAGTGCCCTGGCGAGGTCGTCTCAGCGGCGGCCCGTGGAGGCGACCGCGACGCCCCGCATCAGCTCGAAGCAGGCGGGGCCGCGCCCGCCCGGCTCGCGCACCCTGCGCGCGCAGGAAGCGAAGACCGATGCCGATGGGCTGGAGACTGCGCGCGGGCAGTTCGACATCCGCTACAGCGACGCCATGGCAGTCTGCATCTCGAAAGAGGCAGCCGCCGCGGCCGCGAAGTACCAGGGCGCAGCTTTATGCCGCGCGTTGGGGAAGCTGCCGGGCGCCCGCTGGATGGTCGGCTCGGATTCGACGGGCCACGGCGCGCGTCGGCAGGAGCTGGGCAACGGCGCCAACTCGAAGCAACTCTGCTTGTTCTACACGGCCAAAGAGAAAGAGGAGGGCTGATGCATCGCCGACAAGCTGCGCGCCGCGGATCAGGAGATCTACGCGTGGTGCCGCGCGGTCTGCCCAAGAGAGGTCACGCTCCACGTCCCTTACTGGGCCAAGAAGGGGCGGGCGGGCCTCGCGATCGCGCCCCGCCGCGCCGGGGCGCGCGCCCGCTCGCGGCCGCGCGCAAACCGATCGCAGCGCTCGACCAACAGATCGCGGAGCTCAGCGGCCACGCGGAAGCGCGCGCGGCTGCAGAGGCCGAGGAGAGCAAGAGCACCGCGCGCACGCACGCAAGGGGCCGCTCCTAAATGGCGCATCGGCAGAACATCCACACGATACGAAGGCCAAGGACACATGTGAAATACTGCCTCGCGAATGCAAGCGGGCCGGAACACAGAGCCTGATGAGCGTGGGTCAATGCCGGGCGGCGGAAGACCATGCACATGCGGGGCAACATGCAAGGGGCACGAGGCGCCCCGCGACTGCGAAGCAGAAAATGGAGCGCCCGACTGCGACGCAGAAAACGGGCAGCGAGGCGGGGCAGGGAGGGGGAAAGGGGGGGGGAGGTGAAGGAAAACGACGAGGGAAAGAGGGCACTGAGCGAACTATGTCTGCAATAGCACCGAGACGGGCAATCGCGACAAGCGCAGCGGCCAGAACGGCAAGGGCGGCAAAAACCAGCGACGGATGGGGATACCCATGCATCCAGCTTATGTCGGCTGTCAGGGCCGACAATTACGAGAAGGCGCTCGCCCGTTTCAACGAGCGCACCGATGTCCACTGGGCGCGGCCCATAATCGACAAGCGGAAACGCGAAGCATATTTGCTGAACCAGTCCGCGCGAAGGGGCCCGAGAAGCGCGACGCGGGCGCCGACGAGAGCGCTTTCCAGACTAGAGAGGCCCGCCGACGAGGCCTATCAGCCCCGCTGCACAGCAAAACCAACGCGTTGCGCTACACCGAGCGGTGGTGGGATGGGGGCGACGACGAGGGCGACGATGGCGATGGCCACGACGACGAGCGCCGCCTGATGGGCGACTGCGCGGGCGAACCGGACGCTGGGGCGACAGGGGGGGAGGGGCACGCGGCGACGATGACGATTGCAACGGGCGCAATGATGATTGTGGCGGGTAGCACGGGGGGCGGAGGGGGGCGCTCTCCGGCGGTCGAGTTGTCGACGCGATCGGCCATTCGCGCGCGGTCGGCTGCGCGAAGCGCGCGGCGCGGCGGCGCCCCGCGTCGCCCCGATGATCTCTGGGGATCTCGGCAGGCGGTGGAGATGCACGCGCCCATCAGACATGTGTTGTTTTCATTAAATTATCCCTGTGCGACCCTACCTAGGAAATGGAGCCTCTAGGAAAGCGACATTAGTAGGACTGATAAACGCGGTCCTCCTCCTTCTCCTCATCGTCGTAGTTGTAGCAGTAGCGGCAGTAGCGGTAGTAGTAGTAGTAGTACTAGTAGTAGTAGTAGTAGTACTAGTACTAGTAGTAGTAGTAGTAGTAGTAGTAGTAGTAGTAGTAGTAGTAGTAGTAGTAGTAGTAGTAGTAGTAGTAGTAGTAGTAGTAGTAGTAGTAGTAGTAGTAGTAGTAGTAGTAGTAGTAGTAGTAGTAGTAGTAGTAGTAGTAGTAGTAGTAGTAGTAGTAGTAGTAGTAGTAGTAGTCGTAGTAGTAGTAGTAGTAGTAGTAGTAGTAGTAGTAGTAGTAGTAGTAGTAGAAGTAGTAGTAGTAGTAGTAGTAGTAGTAGTAATAGTAGTAGTAGTAGTGGATGCTGCGCTCTGCTATGCTTTGATCTGCTCTGCTATGCTATGCTCTGCTCTGCTATGCTATGCTATGCTGCGCAATGCTAGGCTGGGCTAGGCTAGGTTAGGCTAGGCTAGGCTATGCTATACTGCGCTACGCTATGCTGCACTATGCTATGCTATGCTGTGCTATGCTATGCTATGCTATGATATGATTTTGCTTTGCCCTCGCTTTTGCCTTTGCCTTTGCTTTTGCTTGGCGCCCAGGGGGCGCAACTGGGGGAACCGCGCGTTTCCTTTTACCTTTGCTGTCGCTTGTGCTTGGCTCCCAAGGGGCTGGGGGAACCGCCCGGGGCGGGTTTCGCTGCCCGGCCCCTGTAAGGCACAGAGTAAGATCCCTTCTAAGCAGAGCCTAGGTAAGGAAAAATATGTTCCATGAACTCCAGAATTAGGAGAATCAAAGATCCGGACTTGACCCTTGGCAGTTTCTTGGAACTCCCAGGCGTCGCAGAACGCCCGCGCGCCCTAGGCGCGGGCTGGCGTTGGAAAAAACGCCTGCAGCGAAGTCCATCGTCTGAGCGTCGAGTTTTCCCAACTCTACACAGGGGCGCATGCTCGCCCCGCTTTGGCTCGAAACTGATCCGTGGCCACCGCCGCCCGCGGGGGCCCCGAGCGTCCGCGCGTCTCCTCGCCTTCGCCCTGGCGAACAAGGCCGACGTTGAAAAATTAGACCCGCGAGCGCAGACCCCCGCCTCGCATCCGAGGCGCCCGGGGCGCATCCTAGACTGGGCCCCGCGGCGACGAACGGGGGCGGGCAGCGAGGGCCGCAGGAAACGGGCCCTCTCCAGGGCCCAAGTGGGCGCTCTCCAATGATCTCGACGCGCGGCGCGAGGGGTCCGTTCGGCAACATGTCATGATACTTTTGGAAAACGCATGGTTGCCATGAGAACTCGCAGGGGCGCGAGCGCAGGCATTCCTGAAAGCTGACGCTGCAAACTGAGTGCCATCATATGTTTTCGGGGCGCTCGATCCTAACATCCCTGCGGAAGCTAAGGTTTGCGATTGATTTTGGCGCGCGCGCGACGAGCGCGCGCGTGCGACGACGCGCGCGCGGACTTCGTCCTCTTTTTCTCAGCAAGGGGCTCTGGCGACAACACGCGCGCGAGGGCGCTCGAGCGAGTCCGACGAGCGCGCGAGAGGCCCGTTTGGTAGCAGGTTGCGAACATGTAAAAACACTTACAATTCTGATGATGCTTCGCAGGGGCCCGAGCGCACGCGTTAAATATTTGAAAATTCGTCTTGCGACACCATGTGGTTTAACTAGTTTTCGGCGCGTTCTGTTTTGAAAATCCTGACGCGCGCTAGGAAGATGTTGACATGCGCGCCCGACGACGCGCGCGCGCATCGTCCGAATTGCGCAATGTTCCACTGCGAAAGCGCGCGCTTGGGCCGACGCGCGGGCGCGAGAAACCCGTTTGGCGGCAAGTTAAAAAAGCGCGGAAAGACCGATCGTCTCCCGGATACTTCGCAAAAGCAAAAGCGCAAGCTTGTTTTGAACATGCACGTTGCGAAACAATGTGTTTTCCGACTGTTTTCGGGAAGCTCGGTTTTGACGTCCTCGATGGTTGAAGGATTTTGACGCGCGTGCGAACGCGCGCGCGTGCGCTTCGCCCTGATTGCTTGGTTTTGCCGGGGGTTCTTGAAAACAGATGATTTGTTACTACGTAGCTTGCGTGCGTAATCTGTTGCGGGGGATGAAGGGGGGGGGGGGCTGGCCCGCTTGGGATGATGTGACTTCAATTTTCGGATGGGCGATGGGTCAGAATCGCACGAGACTTGCGCCGCGATTGAAGGGCGCCACTGATTCCGGGGGCGGGGGGGCGCGGGGGAGTGTAATTACCCTGTAGAACAAGGAATCGACGCGGTCCAAATTACGGGCGGCGGCGCGGCGAAGACGGCGGGCGCGCAGCCGCCAGATCGCCGCGCAGGCCCAGACAAACCACGGGCGGCGACGCGTCGGCAGCGGCGAGCAGGCATCCGCCACGCCCTCACACAGGCCCGCGCGACGGGCGGCGACGAGGCGGCAGCGGGGTGGCGACGGCGAGCACGGCGCCGCCAGACCGCCACTCAGGCCGAGCTCCAGAGACCGCAAATTAGAAACAAGACACGCAAGCAGCCAACGGGGAATGCGGTTTCACGTGCAGGGCGATCGCTGCCGCGTCGGCGCCACTGGGCCCCGACATTGTTTGGCCCCAGGCCCCCTTCCCCACCGAGATCGAAGGAGGCCCCGAGATGCCCTGCGCCAGCGACGGCCTCAGGGCGCCGCGAGGGCGCGCGGCCGCCACGGGCCGACGGCGGCCCCTATGCTCCACTGGGCCCACGAGAGCCCGGGGGCCATCCTGCGCCGACGAATCCCTGCCCGGGTCTCCACGAGGGCCCCGGCGCACCCATGGCCACCGAACTCGCCCCAGCCCTTGTCGGAGCTCCAACGTTCCGCGGGCCCGCCCGACCCCGCTTCGAAGCCCTTCGCAGTCCTTGAATCTGCGGGGGGGCGGGGGGGGCAGAAACGAAGGATGACGTTCTCCTGGCAGCGCGAGCGGCGAGAAACATCGATCATGGAGCGAGATCGCCCGAGCGCCGCGGCCAAGTCCGCCAGCAACGCAAGATGCGGGAGCGGCGACTGCAATCTAACCGCGAACTGCCGCGGCGCAAAAGACTGCGACTGTCGCGGCGCCCCGCCCTCGCCGTCTGCCGCGGCGCTTCTGGCAGGGCGGGGCGCGCTCCGCCGGGGCGGGCCGCGGGGCCGCCCGAGGGGCCCCGGGCGCGCGCGCGGCGAAGGGCCCCCCCCGAGAGAAAAGCCAGAGTGGCGCGGCGCTCGCGCGGCCGCAGCGCCGCCGCGCGACGGCCCCCCCGAATCGAGAGAGGACCCCGAACGCAGCGGCCTCGCGGAGAAGGGCAGCGGCGCAGCGGCGGCGAATCGTCGAGGCAGCTGGAGGAAAGGACAAGGAGCGGGGATGGATGGGGGGGCGGTTGGAGGGAAGGGGAATGCGGGGGGTGGCGGCGGAGCAGAGCCGCGCGGCATTGGACAGCGCCCAACTCAATCATGCGCGCTCGCAGGGCGCAGCTTGCAGCGAGGCGCTGGATGCCGCGCCGCGAGCGAACTGAGCAGAGGGGAGGGGGCGAGGCGCTTCGCTGCCTGCTGCGGCGCGGCTAGAAACGGAAAGAAGCTACAGCGCTACGCTGCACCGCGCAACCTGGCGATCGCGGCGAGTGGCAGCCGCGTCGAATGAAAGGGGGGAGGCAACGCCCCCCCCCGGGCGCGACGTGCAAGGGCGTTGCCACCGCAATGGGATAGCCGCAGATACCCGCGCGCCCGTGGAAAAATACAAGCCCGCGGCCAAACAAAGATACCGCCACGCAGCGCAGCGCGAATGCAACGCAGAAAACACGCACGCGCGTCAACGCAGATCCGCCGCCACACTGCGCAGCACGACGGCGAAGCAGACAAAACATGTCGAAGCGACGATGCCGCCGCAGCGTTCCAATGCTGAAGTACGCTGAATGCGCAGCCCGCCACGATGCCAGGGCGCCGGGTGCGAGCACTAGCAAGCCGAAGGCGCCCTGACCAATGCAGGTCGCGCGCCAACGTTCCACTGCAGACGCGCTTCCAAGGCCCGCGGACCCCCGGCCCGGTAAGAATCCCAACCGCGCCCAAGCCGCCGCCGGGCAATGTCCCAGCCAAATCCCCGCCGCGGCCCCGCCGCCGCCCAGCCGCGGCCCAGCCGCGGCCCGGCCGCCGCGCCCCCGATGAAATTGCCGCCTCTCCAAAAAAAACGCCGCCGGCAAAATCCCGGCCGAGTCTCCGCCGCGGCCCCGCCGCCGCCTAGCCGCGCCCCCTCTCCCTGAGGGCCCCAACGCGGCCTCGTAGGGCCCCGCAGGAAGCAGGGGTGAGATGAAAAACGCGAAGAGCGCGACGGAAGAGCGCGGCTGCAGACGGGGGAAGGGAGACCGCCCAGAGCGAAGGGCGGGGGGAACGGCAAGGAGGGCGCGAAGGGAAGGCGGGAAGGCGAAGGAAGAAGGAGGAAGGAGGAGGGAGTCGGAAGAAGGGCGGACTAGGGAAGCGAGAGGGAAGACAACGGAAGACAGGAGGAGGGAAGGAGGAAGGACCACCGATGAGGATTGAGAAAGGAACACGAGACGATGACAAGGGCAAGGGGAGGGGGAAAGGAATTGGGCCTGCGCAGTCCTGGGAGGACATGCCAGCGGCGTGAAGAAGAAGAGGGAACTGTTGGCGACAACGAATGCGATAGTGATGATGGAAGCAAACGGTAACATACTTGAATGGACGTTTTTGGTTCGATGTGGACCTCCGCAATAGTGGGGCACAGCGTTATTGGACCGCCGCGTGTTCATCGCGGGAAATGGCAGCGGCGGCGCCAGGGCCGGCGCGCGCGAAGCGCACTGGGGAAAGTTCGCAACCTGCGCGCGAATGACGAAACGCGCACGAACGGCCCCGAAGCGGACGCAATCGCAACGATTCGGCGCCGTTCGCTACGACGCCATCGCTGGCTGCGCCAGCCTGACGAGCACGCGCGAGAGACTGCCGCGCCATACCCACGCTAACCGCGCATTCCAAAAAGCCAGCCGCAATGGAAAACATGGCCACGCGCAATGACGTGCGAGAGCACCAGTGGGGCCATCTGGAGTTCGGCTTTGTTTCTGTTAGAATTACGTGTGAGTGTGTGTGTGTGTGTGTGTGTGCGTGTGTGTGTGCGTGTGCGTGCGTGTGTGTGTGTGCGTGTGTGTGCGAGTGCGTGTGTGTGTGTGTGTGTGGGGCATTTTTCGCCCGGGCCCCCCCAGTGGCGCCGCGGCCGAAGATGTCGCTGCAGCGGCCGCCGCGCGGGCAGCGGGCGCCTGCGCGGCGCAAGCTGCCGCGTGCATCGCGGCCCCTGGCGAGAGAGGGCGCGCTCTCGGCTGCCGCGACCTGCTGCGTCATGCCAAAACGCGGGCCCTGGTTGCGATGGCCTGCCAAGGGCTGCGCCCGCGCGCGGCGCGGGCGCATCGCGCCCGCGACCTCCGCCCCGCGCCGCTGCGAGCCGACCTTCAGGTTGCCGGGTTATCGAGGCCCTGCGCGCGCAAGTCGAAGGCGGGGCCCTTGTCTTTCAACTCTGCTTGGTTTAGGTTTTCTTCGGCCCGGCATCTTCTTGGACCGCCTCGCCGCGCGCCCTCGTTTATATATATATATATATATATATATATATATGTATATATATATACATATATATATATATTTATATACATATATATATATAAGCGCCAAGGCTGCCCATGCGATGAAGCAATGGTCGGCCACCAGCAACTGATGCTGCTGATGTGGCCGCTAACGCTCGGCGCTGAGGCGAGCGAGAAACGCGTCGCGGCGCGGGCCAAGACGGCGGCGGAGACCCGGGGCGGGAAGGCATCGGCATCGGCAGGTAGGAAAAACGGAATCAGCGAAGGCCCCGCAACGGCGGCGAAGGCCGCGCGCCGCTAAGGCTGCAGGACGCCCGCCTCGGGGCCCCGCGTTTCCCCCGGCGGCCGCCCCCTGCGGCCCCCCAGGGCGCCCTCCTCAAGACGGCCTCCCCATGAGCCTCCGCGTGCACGCAAGTGCAGTGAACCATCAACCCGCATATCTGTACATATACATATATGATTCGGGATGATCAAGATGTTGCGTGTTGCTTCAACATAGCATTGCTTCGGTGCACCACGCGGCTGTGAGGTGCACCGCTAAAGCCCCAAAGTTGTTTGAGAGCGTGTGGCGTGTATGTCCCAACGTTCAAACCATTTTGGATCAACATGTAAAATAATTTGGGCTTCGGCGCGACCTGATGATTCTATGTTGCACAACGCATAGCATCATTGGTCACGTCGTGCATGCTGGCAAGTACGCACACATTATGGCAAGTACTTGCGGCTTACCACTTCGTCTTAAGCTGGGTTATTCGCAAGTGCAGATACGTGCTTTAACCAGGTCGCCCAAAACGACGGCTATGCAAATGAACGCTGTGCAACAAGTTATAGAAGTGGGCAAGTGAAGCAGTCAGATAACACGTGGACTGCATGTTGGCACGTAGTTGCGCACCACAACGAAGAGGGCTGCACACCAAAACTAAGCGGGTTCGCACCACAACGGATTGGGCTGCATCGAGTTAGCGATGTGTCTTTCCTCCGGCCAGCCCACAAATCACCAAAGTAAAAGGCTATTGAATGAAAGGCAGCGCGATGGTTCCAAGTGGGCGCGAGCCTCCCAACACTACCCCCCGAGAGGCGGCCATCTTGAACAACAGCCATCACAAACACATGGTGTTTCACTTACGCTCGGCTTCTATACATTTCCCTTGCGATAGGCTTCCGGGGCGTGAAGGTGGCCGAGGCGGACCCCGAGATTCGGATCGACGGCTGCTCCCTCACCCTTCCGTGTTTCCACGGCGCGCCCCCAGACGTCCCTGGTTATGGCTACTTGCCTGGGGTCTGTTCCTGGATGGGCCAGGGGGGCGCGCGCGAAGCGTCGACAGTTGGAGCAGAATGCTCGCGCACCGCTCTGGCTGGGAACAAAAACAAGTGTCACGCGGTCAATGCCGCGCGATCGTGGGCCTTCTTCTTAACAAGAGGTATGCTCGGACTGGCCGAACAATGCGGGGTCCATCTATACTACCAGGAGTTCTCCGCAGCGTCATCCGCACGCTTCGATGCTGACCCCGTTAGCCCTCAAGCGCGCCGTCTGCATCACGAGCCGAGCGCAAAAGAGATCGCGAAGCAGATCTGCAAACCCCAATCGAGAGGGGTGAAGGCCGACGCTGCGCGATGCAGCGCTGTAGCTCCCAGATCGAGGCAACGACTCTAAAGCGCTTTCGCAGCGCATCGCCAGCGGGAGAAGGGAGAGAGAGAGGAGTCGATGGGAGTCTATGCGGGAGGACGCACGCCCAGATCCTCGGGCTGGGTCGGGCGGCGCATCATGCCACTTTCGCCCCCGACCAGCCTCCTCCATGCACGCGCCCTGAACACCGCCGCCTCGCTGCCTCGACGACCTCTCGTCCGCGCGGCAGCGGCGGCGAAGGCGGCAGCCGCTTCGCGGCGGCCCTCGGCGATCGCCGTCTCCGACGCCACGACTTTGGCGGGCCGAGACGACGAGCGAACCTCATACTCGTCAAATTCGAGGGGGCGGCCCTCAACCCGTGCGCCCACCTGCCCCGCAGCTCCTTCCTGCGGCGGGGGCGGGGGGGCTCGCCCAGCAGCGGCCAGGGCCGCCGCCTCGCGCATGGCCACGGGTGGGCCGCGGTGCGACGGGAAAACGCCACGACGAATTCGCTTCAGATCCCCCCCCCTTTCCGAGTGTGGGGGGGGGGGGGGGCGCGCGCGTCTCTGAGCCACCTGCAGTCAGTGGTCGCTGTGAACCCACAGCGCTGGCAGAAAATCCGACCGAAACTTTTCATTCGCGCCGGGCGGTGGCTGCGGTGCAAGCGCGCCGAGCCCGCAGAAAAATCGCCCGAGATCGCCTCGAAACCCTCCCCATACTCAGGCTCCAGCCCAGCGTCGAGGTCTGAATCCAGCGGCTGCGACGGAGGAGGGTCGCGGCACGGGGTCGAGGCGACAGCTGGCACTTGGCTCCTCAGGACAATCGCACGGCACCGATCGCAACGCCAGCGGCCCGCGAAAGGGCGGAAGGCATGGCCACTGGCCGCAACGACCTGGTCGAATTTCGTGAGCTCACGGATTCCTC